GCTTTCAATATCATTAGACTCAGTTTTCAACAAGAGTACAAGTTTTGCAACTGCTGGTAGTACCCCAGGGGCAGTTGGAAAGCATGAAGGTAGCCTACCCAGATGCGGTGTGCCATTTTTAAACTGTTGAAGAGAAAAGTAATTCCCATTCCAGCCTGAAGCACCAGGTGAAGAACAACAGGACTGCATGGATCTGAGGTGAACAGCAAAGCTTCTCTGGAAGGAGAAACTAACTTTCACAGCATTTCCTTTTAAAATTTTGCACTGAAAGACATTACAGATGAATCCCACTGCCATCTGTGATTCCTTGGGGCCTAAATGCATTTTTCTTGTTCTACAAGCAGTCCTTGGAGAACACAAACCATCAAGATCTTTAGATGATTGTTTCCATCTGTGTCTTTTGTACTGAGTCTTTCTAACTGAATAACACCAAGAAAATTAACTTTCATCAGTGATCAGTCTGAAAGAGGTAAACAGGATTAGCACATTACCAATAGTGAAGCCCCTGTCTGAAGGGGTGTGTGGGTACCTGTGCAATGAACTGTGGGACTATGTGCAGTGCCAGTGGGCGAGCAGTGGTGAGTTTTATGGACCTGCTATACACCAGGTAGGGAAGGGAGCAGAAGCCCAGTACCTCTCGTACAGTAGTCTACAGGCATATGACCTGGAGTAGTGAAGACACTTGATAAAATGGAGTAGGTGCCATGGACATTTACAGCTGTGGAGCTCTGTAGCTTATGCTGGTTTCAGAGTACCTCTTTCTCTCTCCCAGCTGCCACAGGGCCACCCAACCCCCTGAAACATTCTTTGGAAGTAATAGCACAGAGTGAACTGGCTCCAGTTCAGTTGGTCTGGACAATGGAGTGGGATACAGGATTGCTTCCAAAATGTAATCTCAGAGTTGAAATACCATACACCAGAACAAAGTGTTCACACCAGGTTTGTTATGGCAGTGAGAGATCAGTCAGACAGGATGAGTCAAACATGCCCAAAGTGTTAAGACATTGCTTTTCAAATCCACCCTGTCTTTCTTAAGGAAATTAATGGATTAAAAATTAAAATAATCTTCCTCTTGTAAGAAAGTGTTGTGGCTGGGAGACACCAGGAAATCTGTCTGGATGACAAGGTAGTCACAGAGCAACAAAAGCTGAAGTTATGTCAGAACTTGTTCCTGCTGCCTGCAAAAATTATAGCCATTAGGAATTCACTTTTACAGGTGACCAAGTCACCTCAAGACCTCCAATGTCTCCATGTTTCTATGAGTACTAAATTATTTTTTTTTATTAAATCCCAGCCCTGTGAAACTCAATGCAAGTGTTTTTTATAGTGTTAGCAGGCCTTTAGGTCAGTACTATTATTTGTCTTTCTGTCCAAGACCGAACATCATCGAATTTGTGTTGTCTGCTTCATCAAGGACACTGCCTTTGATGGTCTTTTTGATATTCTCTTCACTCAAAATCTCTCCTGTACTTTTCCAGATACTCTTATCTAATGCAATGCTCCCAAGCACCAAAGCACCAAGCCAACAGCCCAGCCTTCAAATCCTATTCTTCCAAATTCTGTGTCAAAACTTACACTATGTAGAAAATATTAACCCTATTAACCATTAAAGAAACATTATAACAAAGTATTCTAAGGCTGCCTTTGCAGTCGTGGTCACCACATCACACCTAGGTCCACCTTTTCACTCTTTCCTCATTATTTATCAGACACATTTCCTAAGCTATTGGGCTGTGACTGTTTTTAAACTGCCCACGTGGGGAGGAGTATAGCACTTCTATTACCCCAGACAAATAAATAAAAATGATGCAGCAAAAGAGAACTGTCAGAGAGTTCTCAAGAAAGGTTGCAATGAGGCAACTTGTTTAGATATGAGAAAACCAAGAAAACACAAGTTCTAAAAGGTGCTTGAAATTAATAACATTCAAATTATAGGGGTATAAGAGCTACAACAGTGAATCTAATACGCTGTGGACACAGGCTTCAGATTGGGGTAAGTGTGGTAAGCCTGGCTGAGACACAAGGCCAATGCCAATGCCAATGCCAGATGTGCTCCTCACATGTGGCAGGGGGTGCATAGTATTACTCCAATGTTTCCATTGGCCTGATCCATCACTGAGAGGTTGCTATCAGAAAGCAAAACCAGAGAATTCTGGAGCCTCTGGAGAGCAGAATGGTGACTGCTACCTCCTGTGCCAGATGTTGTAGCTGTCCCCTCCTTTGCCAGGTTTGAGGTGAATGGTTTCTCTTGGATTTGACAATCTGGTCCATGGTCTAAGGCAGACCCAGACCATCTGAAGCAATTAGAGAAAAGTGTGAGACAAAGCCTTTCTGTGACCAAGTGGTTGTTGCAGCTGAGTGGCTGTATATTATTCTGTTCAGCTCTGTTTCTGAAAGGTGGTTTCAAACCAGCAGAGGATGAGAAGGCTGAAAACAACAGTGAGGGTATTGAGAACTTAATTTGCAAGAGGAGGCTAGATAGACAAGACAGGCTTGTTCAGCCAGGGCTGATGGGAAAAAGAGTGCCAGCTACAAATACACTGAAGAAAACACTCAGCACATAGAGTTTGCTAGCTATTTTGATTCAAAAGTAATGTTGGTAATTTATGGGCAGCTGAGATATCAGCTGCCCATAAAGAACTAGTAGTTTCTAATCATGTTCAGGAACAGCTTTGCAAAAATGGAATTAGGTAAAGAACAGAGAAGAGCCAAACCATCTGAATGCTTTTAAGATAGAGTTCAATAAATGAGTAACAGTGATTATTATATGAGGTAATGTTTGCAGTAGCTTGAAGGTCTCATTTAATTATACAGGTGGTTCCTTCCATCTTATGTTATTATGCACCCACAGCCAACATTATTCTGTAACCATGGCTAACAGAAAAAAAAAAAAAAAGGCAAGATGACATTACTCCTAATATGAGTGCTTCAGTAAGAGCAAAACAGTCAAAATTGTGAAGGCTGTGAAAATAGCTAGCATGAGCCAGAGGATATTTAGCGAGTGCAGCAGCATCTCTGTAAGACTGATGCAAGACAGGAATCCCATCCGGGTATCAATAGAGGGTATTGATTTAGACAAAGAGATAGTTTTCTGCATAGCAATGGTATGAACTTACTACAGCTGCAATTTGACAAGTAATCCAAAAAGCAAAGTCATACAAAATACATTTGCAAATGCACTTTTTAATACAGGCAGCAGGAATGGAAGACATGTGAGTAACAGTGCAGGAGGGCTCTAAAGACACCACTCACTTCTAGTGATGTTAAAGACAGTGTATGAAAAGGTACGGGATCCTCCACCAGAACAGTTACAGTGACAGTGAGCACAGTTATCATTCATCCAGGATGAATTATTTTTATTGGAAGAATCCAAATTAATTGCACAGAGAATTGAGAAAAACTGATTTTGTGGAGGAATATAAAAAGAATATAGAAGAATATAAGAGGAATATAACTTTTTCCTAAAGAAAATGTGTCTAACCAAAGGAGACTGAGTTACAAACAACACTCATGAAGGTTCTGATCTGCAGGAGTGGTATAAAAAAGCTTTTAAAGCCAAAATGTATCAGTGAACTGCACAAACCGATGCAGAAAAAAAAGCCCCCAAACCAAAAAACTGTAGGAAAGTGTTTTTTCTATTCAATGAGTTTTATTCAGCATTCTGACATACTGCTTGTAAATGAGCTACTTCACTCTCTGATCCCTATACAGTCTCTAACTCAGCCATTTAATGGAATGAGATACTACTTTTCACTAAAACTTAAGAACTTAAATTCTTCAAATATCTTTGAGAAAGACCATACACAGCAGCCCTGGAAGTGAAGCCCTCTCCAGGGACTTTATCTCTTTCAATGTACCGAAGCCAGGGGCATGAAAGCATTTTATTTAGCAGCATCCCTTAGAGTTCCCCTGCCTCCTTTGACCTGTACAAAAGCTGAATTCTAGTCTCCTCCCTGTGCAAAGATAACTTGCATAGTTTTGCTGTAGTTCTGTTTCTGTTTTTTCTTAGCTGGACTTTTGGCTGACTGACAGCTGTTTTGCTTTGGCAGATAGGAGTGAAGATCTGTTTCAAGGCTCCCAGTTCTGAAAGATTATCTCTGAGGAAAGATTATCTCTTTTTGAGCTGGATGCTTTAAATAGGCACCCAAGCAAGAAACGACCTGTTTTGTACAGATTTTCAGAAGAGAGGACACTAAACTGCAACACTTAACACTGAACTTGGGCCAAAGGAAGGTTCCTTTTAAGGCCTGTGTGAAAATTCAGACTCTTTCGCATATGTAAATCAGTAAACACCTGGAATAAAGAACATTTTCCACATAGTGAAACAGAACAAGCAAGCAAAAATAATACAAGTTAAGGCTTCTGCATTGTTTGCTGCACTTCCCTAATTTGTTTTAAAAACAATAGATTGATTTCAATAATACTTAATAAGCAAGCTACTATACCAGTTATTATAGTTTGAAAATTAAGTAATTCTGTTGCTAGAAAATAATGACAGTTTGATCTGTGACTAGGAGAGATCACAGGGTGAGCATCCTGTGTTTGCTATAGTGGATAAGGCAGACTCTATGCCATGGCAGCATCTCATATAAGCATGCTTCTTTGTGGCATGTCTCTTCTAAAACTCTGTTGCTTTAGCAGAAAGAGCAGCCTTTATTAGTGCAATCGAGCAGCCATGACAATTCAAGCATGAATATGAGGACAGCAAGAGAGGACAGCAGATCCTCCACTACACAGCCTGAAGATGTGCACAGTTGCAGACTGATGTAATTGAGCCTTACCACCCACAGAGGAAAAATGGAAAATGAGCAAACCTTTACGCCATGAGTAGCCTAAGGGAGAAAAGTCTGCTATATGGTCTGTTTACAGGCTATATGGCTGTGATTCTTCTCTTGTCCTGGTAGCATTACTACAGTGGGCATCTCCATTGGGTTGGCCACTTAACAGCTTGATCACAAAGGCACACTACTGCCATGCAGGCAAAGGGCACCACTACCCACCAGGGTCATTCCAGCAATTTCTTCTCTGGGTTCTCCAAACCTCTTCCTCCCAGTGATAGCTGCAGACTCCTCTGTTGAGTTTCTCAGACTATGCCACTGTAGAAGAAAAAGAGGATTTTATTTTCCTGATGACCTATGCCTGAGTCAATCTCAGAGCTCCCCAATATTGCTCACTCAACATCAGGAGAGGAGCAAGAGGTGAGCACTCATTCTGTGAGATTCTGGAAGGGATGAGAATATGGTGAATACCTGAAGCACGCTAAGAGGTATTGGTTTGAGGCATGGGGAAGAAAGGAAGCATTTTGGTCTGTATTGAATGCCTATGTCTTCCTCCTGCTTCATTCAGAGCATAGAGCTTTGCCTTGCTTTAGGCTTACAATTTAGGATCTTCCACAACACAATAAATATTCCCAATCCCAGTGGCACAGGATAAACTATGATTGTGTGCTACTGATGACTTTCTGCATGCATGTGAATTTCTCTTTCAGATACCTACAGTTTTCAAAATTGTTATTGTGGTTTAGGAACATGCATGGACCAGTATACCACAGAAACTTGTGGGATGCACTAAGACAGTTTTGGGGAACCTATTTTTATTGAAAATGTGATGCTTGAGACCTGACATCTGACATTGACTCCAGTAAAATTCTTTAGTCTAACTTGAAAACTTAGAGTCTATTGATCTTAAGTCTTCAGTTAGGTATCATGAGAAGAGCATAGCTTTGTAGAACAGATCTCTTGTACAATAATGAACAATAATGTGAGAGATTGATTAATTTTGAATGCTGACTTTAAATACACTATTAACTGGAAAAAAATAAAGCTGTTATTAAAAATGCCCCTTTTAAAATTCACTTGTATTAATGAATAGTTGCAAGCTGAGAATTCAGAAGTTAAATACTGCTGATCCCATCTATATTAACAGCTTCTTCATTTTTTCCCAGAAGATTTATTTCAACATTTTCATTTAGAAGGCACCATTTACTTAAGGAATTGTTACAAGAAAAAATATTTTCTTGCAGCATCAGGACTCCCTCTAGTGTCATTCCAGCCAGAATCTTCAGGGATCTGCATGGACCACTGAAAATTTGTGCTTGCTTTTGACAACAACAGACATACATCCACAACGACTTTGTATCTGCGATATTAAGAAGCTTTCGTCCACTACTCTGCACCTCCATCCGGGAAATCCATCTCCAGTATTTGCCACCTAACACAGTGTAGCTAGTGTTAATCACTTCCATTGGATTTATCCAGCATGTCTGCTAAGTGTTTGTTACTTATCCACAACTGCAATTTCAGCGTAATTTAACCAAATCCAAAGATTAGATAGAAAATAGGATAGAAATTGTTTCAAAACATGTTGAGACCTCTGATGGGGGATTTTTGTTTGTTTGCTTGTTTTTGGTGTTGTATTTTCACCCCCCCAATTGTCTGAAAGCCTATGGGAACCCTAAGGAAATCTTGTCTGCAGAAGCATTTTGCAATTTGCAAAGAGTATTGTTAGTTGAAAATTAAATAGGAACCAATCTTTAAAGTGGATTTTAGTAACACATGAAAATCCTATCTTCTCAGTGGAACCCTTTTCCAACCAAATAAAAAGAAACTGTTATACTGATAGGCTGTTGGGTGCAAACAAGCAGATCTCCACCATCATTTGGAAAGAATCTGTCAACTTGTTGCATAATTTTTCACATTTGCACAGAAGTATTCAGCACTGAGTTCAGCTACTGGATATGCAGCTTGCACACAGGAACCATTCCATGACTGGAATTCGTTGTGGGCAACAAATCCTGCTGTACTTTCAAGACATAATAAATTATTGAACAATATATATCAAAGATTATAAAAAAAATAATAAAAAATGAACACCCCCCCCAAAATAACAGACATATAGGAAATGCAGAAATAAAAAAGAAAGTAGATTGATGGTGCTTAGAAATGATAAAGTGTGGTTTAACAGGAATAGTATTTATCCAAATCTTCAACACATTTCTTTAGAAACTCATGTTCCACTAAAAGCAAGTAGGACCAATGGTTGGAAAATCCTGAATGACTTAAGAAAAAGTGCCTTAAAGCTATAGACATGTAGGCATTTCTCAAGATGTGAACTTTCACTTCTCAGAAGTCTTAATTTCTTCATGGACATTGCTTTAAATGTCCATGAAGATTTCTGAGTCACAGCATCACAGATGAGTTGAGGTAGGAAGGTACCTCTGGAGCCTGTCCAGACCAACTCCTCTGTTCAAAGTAGGGCCATTGCCAGCTGGGTGCTAAGGGCTGTGCCCTCCGAAGTTTTGAGTATGAACAAAGATGGAAACTGTGTCTGAGAAACCTGTTCTGGTGCTTCATCCCAAGCTGAGGAAGATTTTTTGTATTTAAATGCAATTTTCTTTATTTCAGTTTGGGCTTTATTGTGCTTGTCCTTTCCCTTGACATCTACTCTGTCTTTTTCATATGCTCCCATCATCTAGTCATAGACATTGACAGAATCATTGGTTAGATTTCTCTGAACCTCTTCTCTGTGCTGAACAATCACAGCTCTGTCAGTCCCTTTTCTGGCCTCAGAGTAAATTGCCTTTCTTTGGACAAAAGGCAATTCTGAAATGAGCATATATATATAAAAAAAAAGATTCTTTTCTTTAAGGAAAATATTAGCCAGTGATTCCTGCTGTTACTTACTAGAGACTGATAACATTTTTGTGACTACTGGTAGCTATAACATGAAATAGATTACCTCAAATAACTGCATCATATTTCCAAATTTCATCTTGTACCATGAATGACAAGGTATTTTTAAAAAAATGGCTGTTTTTTTTTCACAAAGTTTTGGTAGCTTAGCACCCAGTGTGATACCTCCAGCAATATTGCTTATTTCTTTTCCCTTCTCTGAACTATCTCCAGTGGTGCTCTGGTCCAGTACAGATGTGTCCCCTGCTTGCACAGTGTCCTCCTGCACATGCCTCACCAGGTGTGCATGTGATAACAGGGCCCTTGTACTCCCTGTCTTGCTGTCTTTGCATTCAGACCCCAGCCCCCTCTCATGTATATGACACTCCTTTACCTACCTTGTACCCTTCATTCAAGCATCTTGCTGCAGTATTTTTTGACTACTGCTTCTCAAGACCCACAGTGCAAATGATGCTCTCCTTTCTGAGGTATAACACAGTGGTTTCCCTGCAAACTTCTTTGCACAGGGAGACATATGTTAAGAGAGATCTGTGTAACTCATGAATGATGCAAAGGCAAAACTTTTCCTCAGACTTCCCTGCTGCAGCACAGGGGTTTGTTGATGCACATCTGGGAATCTGCTTTTCTAATATGCTGTCAATTGTTATCCCACATTAAATTATCTTTTTGACCTTCTTGTTCACATCTTAAATAGATGCCTTTCTGCAATACCTTCTCCAGGTTTTCACAAATCTTCTTTGACCACCAGTCTGAAGTGAATGAAGTTTATTAGGTGTCTGCCTTTGAGAACTTTATTAAAGTTTTTAAGTGATATTTAGGGGAAGATTCCTCCCCATGATTTCCATCTGGGCACAGATTCCCCCTGCTGTCACATACATTATTCTAAAAATGTAAAGATAGAAAAGCCTGCCAAAAATTTCTAAGGAAAATCTAGACTAAATGATGACTGCAAACCTCAAAGGAAGAGAACAACCAGACAGCTGACCCAGAAAAGATATTCATGCCATCACCATTTTTCTTCTGGGGCTTTTTTTTTCAGTTTTGGTATCTCAGTTACTTACTCTGCTTGCTTAGTGTCAGATTTCAGATCACAGATTCCAGTCCTGTGTGTAAGGGAGTAACAAGTTAGAAAAATAACCAACCTGTTGAGACACATTGCAATGCACCCTGCAAGCTGATAAAATCACAGAAAATTTCATGACTGCAAGGCTGTTCCTGGCACAGATAGTTTATGTAACTAGAGGCATGTTTGCATATTTGAATTAAGTGTGGTAAAGGCATATAAATGACTGACTCAGAAGTGCTCTTTAAAAACATTTCCTAAGCTGACACTGTTGTTTTAAGTGCAGGACAGCAGTATGGAGGCGTGAACTGCATATTTTTTTACTAATTTAGGACCTGAACTTGTTATAATGAGACCTTATCACTATAACTAGCTTGGAGGACATTGTAGGGGGGGCAGGGGACATGGGTGGCCAGCCTCGTCTCACAGGAAACGGGACAAGAGGACATGGTCTTAAGCTGTGGCAGGGGAGGTTCACTGTGGACATTAGGAGGACTTGCTTTGCAGAAAGGGTGACTAGACAGAAGAATGGGGTGCCCAGGGAGATGGTGGAGTCACCTTCTCTGAAAGTGTTTAAGGAAAGGCTGGATGTGGCACTCAGTGGCATAGAAGAGTTGAAATGGTGGTGTTTGGTCATAGGTTGGACTCAGTTTCAGAGTTCTTTTCCAGCTCAATTGTTTTTGTGATATGTCAATTTCTGAAACTATAGTTTGGCCTACCTGTAACACATTTCTCCCCTAAAGCAGTGTGATTTGTCTCTTTATGAAAACACTTTGAGGGATGGAGATGCCCCAAGCAGGAGAGAGGGAGGTTTTGGGGATACCTCAGAGCAGCCTCCCACTGCGACTGGCAGTCCACGGAGACAGAGGGTGTGCGATGGCTGAACGACTCACAACAGCTGTAACCCACATGTGGGCAGGTCCCTTAGCACACACTAAGCCACAGCCGTGAAGAGCACTCCCACAGTGCCCTCCCACGGCCCCATCTCCCGTCCCAGGCCGGTGCTCCTGGAGCGGGGGCGGGCCGGCGCAGGGGCTGCGCTGCGAGGAGGGCGGGAAGGCGGGGAGGAGGGCGGAGGCCGTCCCGGGACAGCGGGCGGGGAGCACGGGCCGGGGCGGTGGCACTCC